GGAAGCGAGCCGGATTGCTGTCGGGCACCTGCTGGTACTCCAGGTACTGCTCCTGCACCCAGACCCCGGTGATGAGCTCCCTGGGGTCCCCGAAGATGCAGTGCTCCCTCCCGGAGTACACCCCCCTGGCACTAAGCATTTCCCACACTTCCTCCTCAGGGACCTGGCCACCATGCAGGAGGATCACACCCAGGAGCAGTGCCAGGAGGCTGGTCTTGGGGAGGCGCTGCTCTTCGGTCACCCCATCCCAGGTGAGGCCCAGGGTGGGGACCAGGACATAGGAGTGGCCACTGGGGTCCACTTCCTTCACATCCATGCCAAAGACCAGCTGCAAATCCCTGGAGGCTTTGCTGAAGATGTCAGGGAAGGGGTCCTGGTGATCCTGGGCGACCAGCTCCAGCATCTCTGCCTTCATAGTCGGCTCCATGGCGCGGTACTTGAGGAGCAGGAAGGTCACCAGTTGGATCTCCTTCCTGCGCAGCGCATCTTGGAGAGAGGCCCTGGCATCCCCTGCGGCCTCATCCCCACGGCTGCTGGAGCTATGGGTGTGGGACTCACTCTCCAGTGGGACTGGCATGGCCTGGGGTGAGAGCTGTGTCCCCTCCAGGCACTGGGCTTTTCTCAGCTCCTGCTGGGCCTCCTCCAATGGGCACTGCACACTCCTGGTGCCCAGAGGCGTGCTGACACTGCTCAGGGGAATGGCAGCCTGCAGTGGTGATTGTGGGAAGTGGGCACCGGGGACCCTGGGGCTCTGCTTTGGGGGTGGGCTCCTGCCTCCCAAGGGTCTCCCCTGCTGGGCGGGCAGTCTGTCCATGCAGAACCCAAAGGATGAAATGATGGGGCCCTGGTGGTGTGCCAGCCGAGCCCAAGGATCTGGGACTGGAGGCTGAGGGGACCCGTCCAGTATGGGAGAGCCCTGGGAACACATCCAGGTCGGGCGTCCCACCTTGTCTCCTGGCTCAGCCTGGTCCTCCGTGGCTCTGCGACCTCAGGAAAGGTTCCTCAGTGCTTCAGCTGCCGATTCCTGGAGCCACTGGATGCCGGTGTTCATGGAAGCTGGATCCTATGTGCCAGCAACCCTGAGGGTCCGGGATGGTCCTCCGGATATAGAGTCGTCATGCTGGGCACTGAGGCAACCCACCCCACCTCACTACTAACCCTCTGCACTGCACCTTCTGCCCCACCGCCCACCAGCAAGCCCTGCCACCAGACCCCAAATACCCCCTCCCACTTAACTTCCCACCCCACAACAGCTCTCCCCCTGCCCCCCGACACCACCTCCTGCACCCTCAAATTTGCACCGCCTACCTTCCCGCACCCTCCCCCTGCCCCACCTGTCCTCACTCCACCCTCACACCACCTGACTACTACACCTCCCCACGGCTCCATTCACCCCATCCCCGACCACCACACCCACACACTGTTCCCGAATGCCCCCATCCATCCACTTCCAAACCTCCAGCTCCCCTCCCCCCTCCCCACACCCTACAACACCCTCCAACCCACACCGCCGGCCAACCAACCTCCCGACAACCCCCCAGGCCTCCCCCTACACACCAACATCCCACCCCACATATACCCCCGCCCATCCCCCCACTGCTCCACCCACCCCCATCCCACCACCACACCATGTCCACTAAGGACCTGGGGAGGCACAGCCCTGGGTCTTGTGAAC